GTAGAATCAAGAATAAATTGATAGCGTTGAAACTACTACGCTATCACTAAGCTACGCGCAACCAACCATTGATGTATCGTCGGGGGAACACCTTGGTTGCGCAAGAGGACTTGTTGGTGTGCGATGATACACCTTGGACTGAAGAGACAACTTGGACTGAAAGGGGTGTCGACTAGTCATCCGGTTAGTAACCGGATGATGGGCACGGTTACATAGTCAAGTCTATCAAAGCCGAGACGCGTAGTCATCACTGCATTGCCTGTCTTTGGTATCATCCGTGCCCGTCATTACAGGCTAACCTCCTTCTGCGACAGTACTTTTGCTCTGTGTTCTCCCTGGATGGTTTCACATTATGCCTTTCGGCTGTGGAGATGGCTTGGAACTCACTCATGGCCTACAAGCTTGCCCACAACCTCACGAGTCGTGGGCACAAATAACAATATATAATATACGTATTTGCAGAGCATCAAAGGCTAATCCATCGAGGAGTATTTTCGGTGCCTGGCCTATGTAGAAGGTCATCCAATGCGGCTGAGCGGGATCGACGATGCCATAGATTCGTCACTCGCATCAACCACGAGCGACACGAACCGCCAATTCTTGACGTCGAAGATATAAAGCGTGCCCTTCCAGTGCAGCGTGAGCAAGCCCGAGAGGACGCCAGACGTCTGGTCCAAGAAGAAGTCGCTGCCTTTGCGCCAGTGGGTAAAGTCCAGCATGTAGTAGCTCGACGCGTTCAGCAGAAGTGTCGGGATCAACAAGGGCGGGACGCCCGGTCGGCATTTCATGTCGATAGTGGCGCACAAGACGACGCAACCCAGCACGATGGCTAAGTCGGCCCAGATGCGAGTCACACTGCCCACGGCGATGACACCGCTGGTACAATCCATCCCGCCGTCCATATTGACGTATGCGCAAGTCCGATCGAGGGTGACGGTGCAGCTGTGGGGCGACGCCAGTGTCCACACGGCTGTGATGAAGCAGACGCACACTGAGCTAGCAGCCGCGTACGTTGCCGTGTGCTGCTGCGTGAAACAACTAAAGATGTCGTTGAGGATGTAGACGACCCACGTGAGCTCGGACGCAGCGAGAATCGATTTGTACCAGGCCACGGGTGGCGCTGTGAGGTGTGTGCCGAGTCCGACTTTGCTCAAAACCAACGGCTTCGTGTTGAGGAGCCAGAGAGCAGTCACACTGCGGAGGATCAGGAGCGGGCGGCCGACCCAGACATGACCCACGATCCGATTCAATTCAAAGAGGTTGAGGCTTTCAATGCGGCCGCGGGAGACGAGTGTGTAGCCCATGGCCACGATTGTGACGGCGATGATTACGTACGTGACGTAGTAAACCGACCCGAGGAAAACCATCGCGATTTTGTTGGCTACGAGGGCCGCGTTGAGGGGAACGGACAGCTGTCCGATGATGGCAGACATGGTGGTGACGGTGCCGACGTCGCCTTGGAAGGATACGACTTCGCGGATCCCCGCGGCCCACTCGTACACGAGACACCACGCGTAGAAAGTCCAGTACGGCTGCGATGGCACGAACAACGGTGTTTGATACAACATCCGAGTCGTGCCGTTGGCGAGGATAAACTGAACCAACGAGATGTTCGCTGCGTTCACGGCTACCCACGCCGATTGCGCGACAGTCCATGCGGGTAGGGACTCCACGTTGTCGTCGAGAAACGAGTAAAAGGCGTTGTACGCGGGCACGGATGCCTCCGTTGCGAAGGGGTCGAGGGCTACGACGGCCTCTAGGTCGGGCGTCGTCACCGTATGGCTGCTGTTGAATGCATGCATCGCGAGTGCGATCTCAAACACGGTAGGCATGATGTACTCCGGGATCTGCGTTGGACATAGGTACGAGGTGCCGAAACTCGAGTACACATTGAGTGTTAGTTGCGACGCGAATGAGTCGTCGTCGCACATGAGGTTGCCCCCCGTGATCAAAACGTTGGCAGTGGTTAACACACCGGGCACGATGTCGCCAATGTAAATCGGTGGCGCCAGTGCCAGGTACGCGGCTTGGGCAGTCATGTTGGTCAACAGCAAAGCTGCCAACTCGTGCTTCAAGCTGCCGTAGTACGCCAGCAGCGCCGGTGGGCACGGGACGTAGATGGTATCCACGACGCCAAACGGACCAACTGTTTGAGTCACGAGGGTCAATCCGGCGGTGATCGGCGATGGGAGTTGCTGGGACATCTGCAAGAGCGCCTGGCTCGTCGTGTTGGCAAAAGCAAAGTTTGCGCTGCCGCGAAGGAGGCTGTAGCCACCGATCGCAGACGAGTTGTCGGCGACAGCGAGGAGGTCGTTGGCCCACGACCAGTACATCCGAAGGGACGTCTGGGCGTCGAGGTGCATACCACCGGGGGTAGTGCTTGTTGACATCGTGTACTGCATGCCCAAAGCCGTTGTGATGACAAAGGCGTCCGAAAATGCAGTTGTTTTGAAGTTTTGCCACTGAAGCACAAACGTCGAGATCCCATTGTCGCTCCAGTAGGCGACTTCGGCATCAACGGAGCCACGAAGCCCCGTGGTCGTTGCAAGCCAAGCTTGGCCTGGCTTGGAGATTGCCAACTGCTCCCGGACGGCCATGTCGAACGAGGCACCCCAACAAATCTGCCACGCCGCCCAGTCGTTGACATTGCGCAACGCCGCCTCGACGTACACGGCACCGTTGGCTTGTTGGCGGGCACAGCGCTGCTGTCGCATGCCGCTACTGGCCATTTCCCACTGCTGGCCAAAGTCGAGCCAGCAGTACTGCGTGAACATCCACGGCAGCTGGCACGGGTCCATGCTCCTCAAGCCAACGATCACTTCCGTGAGGACGATACGTTCGGGGTCGTAGAGCAGACGCCAGACAGCGCCCTCATACCACATCAGAGTAGTACTCGTCCCGTCGTAGAGCTGTCCAAAGTCACCGTACTTCGGAGAAGCCACTGGCAAGTCGGGGGTGGCCGCAGTGCCCAAGTTGAGTTGGTCGTTGAAGAGGTTGGCGAGGAACATGTAGTGGCCCGTGGTGTTGAAGTCAGCCCATCCAAAGTCGTTCGAAAGGGCTTCTTGGATGACGCTCACATAGACGAGGTTGCTGCCCAACGTGACACCGAGGTACCCGATGCCTGCGACGAAGGTGCACGCGCGCAGTCGCCGCCTTCGTACCTGTGATGATTGTAATCCTTGCTTAACGGGAAAGTTTACAGGGCACTCCGAATTCCAGGGTCCAATCTTAGTTACAAATATCGAGCTGTGCACAACGCTGCTGCTTTGCAACGATTTCTTGATAAACGTGGATTGCAGCGACCTGAGCTTGCCTACAGTGTTAGGTCGGGCATCACTCATAGCATGGACACCTGTCGTGAATTGGGGCTTCCGCAACCAGAGCTTGATGTCAAAAAGAAAGTCGTGACTGGCGACGAAGACTCCGCACATGGCAGCCGTGGCACAGTCGAGGTCGACGGTCGACGTCAAGTAAGCTGCCGCTGTCCCTGGCAAAAGTAAGTTCCAGCGCCCACGTGTGCGGTGGGGTTGAACCAAAAGCGAAGCTGCGACCAGGATAACAACGATCGTGGCGGTGCGAGGGAAGCTCCCGATGCGGATAGTGCCGATCGTGCACTCCACTCGGCGGATAATGTCTGGAATCGTGCACTCGTGGGAGACGGTCATGTCCACAGTGACCGGTGCCGCAATGTCCAAGATGGCCACGGCGATCCATGCAATGATCGGAGCGGCTTGGTGACCGCGGACAAGAGGAGCGAGGATCTCTTGCAAGACGTAAACCAACCACGTCGCTTCGTTAGCCAAGACGAGGGACACCCATGGGCTTCGTGGTGCTGATGTCACTGCAAGTGTGCCGTGGGTGGAGTGGGTGATCATCGGAGCGGTAGCGAGGACACCCGTGGCGATGAGACTGCGCGTGACGAGAATGCTTCGGCTCAGCCACACTGAACTGACAAGGCGGGGAAAGAGGAACCAGTGCGTGCCACAGGGTCGGTTCCAGCTCCATATGCCGAGGACAAGCACCATTACCAATGTTAGGACCACGGAAGCAACAGCTGCTAAGCTCCAGAGGTACGGTCCAAGCGCAGCGACTGCAGTGATCGGGTGTTGAGACACCGATGGATACAGCGGGGACATGACTGTGATCGTCGACACGTCACCGACAATGGCGATCACTTCGCGCTGGTTCATGGCCCAGTCGTAGAGGCTCATCCACCCAAAAAATGCGTAGGTAGGGTCGAGGAGTTGCTGCATCTGTAGTATCAAGTTGGATTGGTTGCTTACGACTTGGCTGTACCCGATCTGCTGCAGGACAGGTGCCGTCGGTGGCGTCATCTCCATCGGTGGAAACAACTGGAACGTCGTCGACGTGGCAGTAAAGATAGCGCGACAAGTTTGGACCTGCACCGGCGACGCTCCCAGGTCACATATGCTGTCATTTGTCGGCCGTAGCATGGCGAAAGCAAAGAGGGCGTTCCACGGGTGCCACTGCACCGAGAGTGGACTTATGGCACCGCAGATCGAGTAGAACCCAAACGACTCTTGCACCGTCGGCAGTAGTGGCGCGTCCGAGCAGAGGAAGTTGCCGCCGTAAAACCGGAGCGACGGATCGGCCCATTGGTTCGGCGTGACTTGGATAGCCACTGCTGCGATCGCGTCAACAGCGGCGGCAAATTTGGCGTCGTTGGTAATGTGATGCAGCACAAGCGATCTAAAGGACCGGACGGTGGACATGAGCTGACTGGGCGGCGACACCCACCACGCGTCGATGTTGCCCATGCTGCCAATGCTGTCGTGCAGGAGGTGATTGAGCGGGCTCAAATCGAAGCCCATGATGAAAATCTCGACCAAGGACGCTGTCGTGTTTGAGGAGGTGGGCGTGTTGCGCACGAGGCTCTGGTCGGCGCCGATGGCTTCCAAGTCGGGCAGTAAGAGGTCGTTCAACAGCAAGCAACTCGGGTTGTAGTAGGCCACGACCGAGACTGTATTGATCGCATATGCCCAAGTCATGCCGATGGCGTTCTCGATGGCAAGTGTCTCCGTGACGCCGTATCTGTACCAATTGAAAAACTGGAGCTGGAATTTCACGAGACCGTGTGCCATCCACACCGTTGCTTCTGCCTCCACGGAGAGAACGTCGTGCTGGAGGAGTGTGGAGAGCCACGCTTCTCCTGCGGCACCGGAGTCGACGATGGGCTGGCCAATGTGCGCCATAAAGCTTGCCCTGTTCATCGCCAGCCACCCGGGCAAGTCAACGTTACGCAAGACGGCTTCAAGGTACACGGCTGCGTTCGTGGACATGGTCTCGACACACCGCGCCTGCCGCTGTGATGTAAAGGCAAGCTCCCACCGGCGTTCCAGATCCGCCCAGCAGTAGATCGTGACGAGGCTGCCCACATCCGCAGCGTTCATGGTACGAAGCGCTGTGATGGGAACGTCCAGCTGCGTCCACTGTTGCAACATGATCTTCCGTCCATACGCTGCCTGCACGCCCAGGGAAGGGTCAGTAGCTAGGTATGTGGCACCGAAGAGATCGAAGTCGTCTGTTGGCACGGTGAGTTCGAGGTTAAGGAGCCCCGTGACCACAGGCATCGAGTCGTTGAAGGCGGCCCACAAATAATCGTTGGCCATGTACGGCTGCAAGAGCCCAAGGCCAACGAAGCCGAGGGCCGTGGACGCCACAACGTAGGCGGCACCGAGGGTGTCCCTTAACCAGTGCTGCGGCAGATGCATGTTGCCTTGTAACAATACTTGAACACTGGTGGCGCCAGAAACGACTATTGACAACCCATCGTACCTTCGTGAAGTCGATGGTTTCACCCTGATTTCTATTTATACAATGAGGAAAGGGGGAAAACATGGATGCACTGTATAACATTTAAATAAGTTACAAAAAACTAACGTTAAGGGAGATGCGGGAACTGGACGAAAACTCATCTCAACACAGAGTTAGCTCAGGCGAAAACGAGGCATTCATGATTGGCGAAAGCAAAATCTGGAGTTTCTTCACAGTCATCCAACTTGTTGGAGATGGCTGCTGTACTAACACGATTTCTTTCTCTGACTGCTGTCTTGCATCCAGAAATTCGCGCCGTTTCACCTCGAAAACTGAGCAGTTCCGGATATTTCATTACTTTTGAGGATGAAATATTTTTATTGCGCACAACGTTACTAAGAGTATGCATGTTTGTGTGGTACTCGGACGACATGGGAGATGAGGGAAATACGGAATTCTACTGGTGTATGAATGTGTGCGCTATTATACAAACCAAATCAAATGCATTAGAGCATCACCACCACCTATATCCGCATAGTGTTCGGATAACAACCTCCAGTATTGTAATGGACTAATAATTCAGGATAATTCGCACCGCAAAAAGCCGAACTCCAGCGAGTAAATTCACCATCATTCGACCAGCCTGAGTAGAAACCCGCGTTAATTTCGACTATGAGGTATGCAAATCTCCAGGAATGGCACGCAATGATGCGCAACATGCATGCATATGTATAGCACTGTACAAAGTTATCCTTATCACCAGGAATGACATCAACTGTTGTTTCTCGTGAACTAGTAAACGGAGTACGGTGGTATATTATATACCGCTTACGCTCTTGGCGCAGTCTCCTTGAGTTCAACATATCCTTCTATTAATACAACGTACTTCCTCTGTTCCGTAAAGGTGAAGACCTTTTGGTCAAAAGTGCAATTCTATGGCCAAATTCAACAGAATTGTCTGAAAATTGGCTCAAATGTAGCCAATGAAAGGACGAGTAAGCAGCTATTTTTAGATTTATTTTATTGCTTCAAACCGCTTCACAACAGGTCGTTAAAGTCAAAAGTTGATGACAGCAAATCTACAAACACCCGTAGATGAGGCATTTCTCCTCCAATCGAGTCGAATGCGAGCGCAAACGATTCGTCTCGTTGCCTAGATGTCGCTAGCACACATCAGCGTTGCATTTGCATTGCTGGAGAAGGAGTTACATAAAAAACAAGACCACGACCAAGTGAGGTGGCCTGTGTCCTGGCCATTTGCATTCCGAGCGTGAACGTTTTCCCATTTTCGCGCGCAGAACGCACCCTGCTACCCGTTCTAAGTGCACGTGATGTACACGGCGCACTCCACAACAACTAACTCCTGCAACAAGTTATGATGCTCGTCTGATCGAGCAGGTGGAGTGCCTGATCGGCCGGAACATTGTGGTTGGACTTGCACAAACCTTGATGATGATGCAAACGTTGCCGCCGTCGAGGAAGCGCTAGTTGACGGCCATTGATTCCAGCAGACGCTTCCCCCTGGGCCGTATCGTTTGCATCATCAGTACTCGTTGGGTGAATGCCCGGACCTCGATTGCTGATGGTGGGCATGGTGTGGCCCTGGAGGAAGTGCTGGCTGCCGGCCAGGAACTCCAGCAGGTGCTTCATCCAGGACCGCACCAAGCGCACCATCGGTACTCATGGTGCATGTCCTTCCTTGAAAGGTGTCGACTGCTTCAATGTCGACTCGTTCTGGCACTTGGCACTGCAGCAGGTCATGACCGATCTCGTCGTAAACACTTGTTTTTGATAAAAATACACATTTCTGTGAAATCGGGTATACAAATAGTAAGATAAAAATTTGCCCAAACACAATAGTCTCCACCTTTACGGAACAGAGGAAGTAGTAGTAACGTTTTTTGTACTACGTATTCGTTGAATCGACCACTCAATTCCAGTGTCAGTACTACGTTGTACTATTAGTAGTACTAATACTAGGGAGCGCTACTGCATACTAGTTCTGTAGTAGTATGTACTTCAAGTACTATGTAGTACTACTAATACTAGTAAGTACTGCTAGTAGTACTGTATTACACTCCTGGAAATACTACTGCTAGGTACAGTAGACTATTAATAGTACTAGTACGTACCCCACTTCAATTCGTACATCCGCATACAGTACATGATACTACTCCGTTCCTAGTAACGTGACCGACCAGTGATGGGCCGAAT